TATTGATGAGTAATACCCATAGTCACCGAGATGAGGCATATCGCAAATTCTGGCCCGTACATTGCACCATAATCAGCTTCATACATGTGTGCAGGAAGGTCAGTTTGTGCCACATTTCCTGGAACTTCATCATCATCGGAGTTGAATTGTGGTGATTCTGGGTCAATGAATAGTCCAGTCTCAGCACCATTCGCACCAGGCTCACGAAGCGGTTCTTCTGGTGGAGATGATGGTTCCTCCATGCTCTCCACATTTAGGTCGAAGAACCTACTACTTGCACGCCTTCCCCTTGAACTGGAAGGCATATCGACATTGAGATCGAAAAAGCTCGCAGTCGAATGCCTCCCCCTAGAGCTTGAAGCCATCGCGTCAAATGGAAACTGCACAGATGGTTGCGTCGATGGCATCTCCATATTAAGGTCAAAGGGATTTGCAGATGAATGCCTTCCCCTTGAACTGGACGCGATGTTGCCATACGGATTGTTCATCGACCTACCTCGGTACATATCGTAAGGAGTTGCGGATGAATATCTCCTCATTATGGCATTAAAATCATTACACATTACTGTCGTCGGGCTGTCAACTTGTTCAGTCAGCCCATAGTGGGAGCTTAATGATTGACCCGAACAACACGCACTTGAACAAAATGTGCATACATCTCAATAGCGGCGTCTGAATAATTACTTTGAGCTTCAACCATCATTTCAACATCATCATTGTTCGAAAGTTCGAACGTTGTATAAGTTAATGGCAACAATGATGTTGGAAATCTATACTGCAACGACGACACTCTTCTACTACTTCCAACATGAATCTTCCTCGAAATCTTCGTTATCAGCTCCTCAAGAGTTATATTTCTTTTGAATGATATTTTAACACGCTCATTTGATACGAAAACAACGCCAGTTTCATCTTCTCGAATTTCACCATCATAATAAACAATAGCTGAAAGTCGCGTCATTATTTGAGTTTAAAAGTGCGGCACTATTATATCTGCAAAAAAAATAAATGAAATAAACCTGATTTAATAAATTATATATGAACGAACATATAACACAATAAAATTTTTACACATCAACGTAAATAAATTAAATAATATAATTTAATATTATTACCTGCACCGCAAAGCTATTTCGACGTATGCTCCCACTTTCCAATTTTACAAACATAAAAATTAAGTGAAAATAATTAATATAATTTTTTTCAAATAATCATAATAAACAATAATATAAAAAATTATAACAAAATTACCATAACGAAAAATCGCACAAACTTCTAAATAAAATATGAGAAGATTGCCAGAATTATTGACTCGTTGACAGAATTGTTGTATTAATTTATAAGTTGAGAGGAGAGAGCGGAGAATGGTATTTATAGCGAGGAAAGTTATACAAAACGCGATACCTGCCCCGCGCTATATAAAATTATGTCAGGAGTAAAGGTATGTCACGGTTCCTGCCCCGCGCTATATAAAATTATGCAGTAAAGGTATAACGCGGTACCTGATCCGCGCTATACCCCTACGTGGCGTATAGCGTGCTGCAGGGGTCGCGCTATACCCACGTGGCACCAGCTCACCGTATAGCGCGGTGCAGGGGGCGCGCTTTACTGGTAAGGGTGTTAGATCGGGAAATATAGTTTGACCAGTGTTAGATCGGTAATATTACCGGTCACCGGTTATATACTTTGCGACGTTTATAAAAAAAGCCGCTCCATTAATACTCAATAGCGGCGTTTGTATAAAACGCCGCTAAATGACTACTCTTTTGTTGTGTTTTTTATAAAACACCACTATAAATAACTCTATACCGGCGTTTATGCCATAAACGCCGCCAAATTACCACTCTATTGCAGCGTTTTTTGTAAAAACGTCGCTATATTATCATTTGGCGGCGTTTGGATTATAAACGGCGCTATATTTCAAAATATTATGGCGTATACTCTCCAAACGCCGCTAAAAACGTCGCTACAGAGCACTTTAGCTGTAGTGCGATCCTGAAGTTTCGTCCGGCTGCCACTGTAATGGCTGCCTCGGTAATCTGCTTTCGATATCATGTTCGGTATCTCCGTTGGTCTCCCGGTGAATACGAAGAACCAGTCCTTCACATATCATGACATGAAGCATTACCAAGTAAATAAGCACTATAATGATAACAGGCATAAAATGTACGAGCATATGTAGGACGATTTGCACAAAACCAGAAGGTGGCATCGGTGCTGGCGACGTATCATATTCATGCTTGCAAACTGCTTATCTAAACTAAAATAACCTGCTTTTCTACTCTATAATCTATATATGTATCTTTATTGCTTACTCCTAATCTAATTTGAATTCTATTTAATTTGTTTACACTTTTCTTCCCACGTTTCGATAAATAGGTTCGTTATTAGTACGATAGAAAATTCATATAACAATTGGATTTTAGGACTTTATCTTATCCTACATACAGTGACGAAAGGAAACGTAAGTAGTGTAATTCTTCCTATTCTAATTTGATATTAAATCATGTTCCATTGCACTATTTTATGAAATCATTGATTTTGTATTAAGCATTGACAGATTTAGAATATTTCTTTTAAGGTGATGAGCACACATTTATTAATATATAAAATTTTCGTATAAATAAATACAAATACAATTAATAAAATAAATAAATAATAAAAAAAATCGTGTATACCTTGGATTAAGGTATCACCGACTTAAAGAGATTGATATTTGTGCTTTAGCACTATTACTATTTGTTGTGTATCTGCGTAAATTGTTGTTGTATTTACGTGTCAATACCATTACAAATATACAATATTCATTAATACAATTATATTAAATAAAATTTAATATGGTTATTAGATATTTTAAGAGTATAAAATATCAAATCTCAAAGTAAAAAAAAATATATATCTATGAGTGTTTTATATTTTATGAATATAATAAATTTAAAAAATAATAAAATTTCAAATTTCAAAATAGAAAGAAATATCTATAAGTATTTTATATTTTATGAATATAATAAATTTAAAAAATAATAATAATAAAATAAATATATAAGGTAAATATTCTAGAAGGAGGGCTTAAACCTCTTACCTTGTGGTTAATAGCCACAAAGTCTAACCAACTGAGCTATTACAGCTACAATCAATAATAATATCATAAAAATTTTGTATATTAAGTTTTAATGAATAACAACACTGTTAATTAATAAACACATTTATACTATTAACAAGTAAAAGTTGTTAGTATATCTATGGGTAAAGAATACAAATGGTCTCTTGATTGGAGGATGCTACTTTGTTGAGTCAATTGACTATTAAAAGTTATAAAATAGTCATCTACTATAGAATATTGTTTTGTTGAGTCTCCTAATTATTAAAAGTTATAAAATGATAACTTGATTATTCATATGTTCCAAACTCACCGTTTTTCGTTAAAAAATTGACGGGTGTTTGAGCTAGATGTTAATATGATGACTCGGTTATGATAAAATCTGATCCCAAAATCGTCTGAGTTGTATTTTGTGGATCATATTTTATCATATCCCAGTCAACATGTTAAAATCAAGTTCAAACGATCGTCATTTTAAAATAAAAAGGATTATTTTGGAACATATATGAATAATCAAGTGATCATTTTGTAACTTTTAATAGTCGAGGAACTCAACAAAGTAATATTATATAATCAGATGACTATTTATAACTTTTAATAATCAGAGACTTCACGAAGCACACCCTATTTTGTAACTGATTTTTAACCTTAACCTTTGAGTTTGTTTTAATATAATTTATACTTTACTTTCTTCCCAGGTTATAGTAAACTATCGGTCGTTATATAGCGTAAAATTAAAAAAAATTACATCAGTTGGATAACTGCATCTTATCATAAAGCAACAACAAGTTATTGTTAAATTGTTATTATACCAAAAAAGTAACATGAAAGCAATATAATATTTATAGGAAGAGAAATTTCTAATATACTATGAGTTATCTGTCGACGATACTCCCAACGCTACAAACACCAGCCATAACTCCCACCAAACATCTCCTTAACTTACTAACTTCGACCTCATCAACATAACCCATAACTTCCTTTCTGGCAACACCCACTAGACTAGCCTCTATACTATGAGTTTTTACCTGAGATGAAGAACCCCCCATTTTTGCTTTCCAAGACTTAGGATCACCATTAACCTTTGGGACCTCTAACATATATTTGGTTAAACTCACAGAAATGCGATTGGCATACACCCTAATACCGTTCAAACGATCCCTAACTCTTACAGCTTCAGTCATATTACAAACTTTGACGAAACCAAACATTGTGCCTGCACGACTCCTCTTCTTAGGAATAAACACACTCAGGACCTCTACATAACGACCTACTATCTGCCACAACCCCTTCCAATGGATATAGTTTGGAAGATAATCCACAAACAGAGAAACAAATTCCGATGGAGCCACAGCGCCTTTCATTTGTAATCACAGTTGTAGGACTCTTGTCTAGTGTGTCTGCATTTTCGTGGTTGCTACGTTTCCTCTTATACCACACACAATCTAATTTAAATTTTACTGATACTTGTTCTTGACGGTTTATTACAGTGCTTGCTGTTATTTAATGCAATTCCTAAATAGGTCCATCAATGGTAATGTACAATAAAATTCTCTTTTTCTCTTACTCATTATATTCTAATTTACAATCACAATTCTTTTTTTCTAACTACAAATGCAAATTTTCGCCTTAGTGTCTGATTGATTGATATTGGTATATATAACCACCAAACTAATGTAGTTTTATATGTTTTTGTAATATTTTACACCAAATCCATATGAAAAAAGAGGGTGATATTTTTACGGTATTTATAGTTGAGTACAAGTTATAACGAACTAGCAAACGAAATAATAAGATAATTAAACTTTCATTAAAAAATTAAAAAATGAAACAAGGTGGAAAAAAACCTATTAATGAGGGATGTGTACAAAAGAGATAAACTTAGATGGTGGATTTTGGTTCAATCGTGATCGTTGGTTGAATCTGGTGTTGGTCTAAATCCGTGGCCTTCACCACGACAAAGAGGGCAAGTTCCATGCTGCAGCAACCATTGATCTATGTAGCATCCATGGAATACATGATTACACTTCGAAAGAACCCTGCAAGAATCGCCATCTTTGAACTCTTCCAAGCAAATAGCGCAGTCGGTTTCAGTCTGTTTGTCATTCTCGTACCGGATTGTGATCGACCCTGAAGTTTCGTCCGGCCGCCTCTGCGATGGCTGGCTAGATAATTTGCTTTCGATGTCATGGTTGGTATCTCCGTTGGTGTCCCGGTGGAAACGACTACGTATCTTGTAATAAAGCATTGCCATGAAAACAAACAACATAATGATAAGAGGCAGAAGTAGTATGAGCCGATATATGATGTAATATTCTCTCTCTCTCTCTCTCTCTCTCTCTCTCTCTCTATATATATATATATATATATATATATTGCTTGGGAAACAAGCAATTAATTTTGAACCTAAACTTTTGAGTTACTTTTTTATCTTATTTTATACTTACATTTATTTATAATGTAATAAATATGCAATATATATATATATATATATTTAACCTAAATTCCAATATAATCATTTTTTGTTTTAATCAATATTAATTTTCAACCTAAACTTTTGAGTTTCTTTTAATCTTATTTAAAACTTAAATTTATTTATAATGTAATAAATATGCAATATATAAATATTTAAACTAAATTCCAATATAATCATTTTTAATCAATTGAATCGGTGGATTTTAAGTCATGTTTCAATAGGTTAGTATTAACTGTAGTCTATAGTCGGTGGTTCTTGTTAAAAAAATTAAGAACAATTAAAACTACACACTATAATTAAAACATTTTTACCATCCTAATTTAAGAGTTTCGTCCCGATTAATTTGGACTGACCCATATCCCGCACTTGGCTTTGGTAAGTGATTTTCCCAACAGGAAACTTTTACATACACAAAATCTCAAACTCGAGACTGCTAATATCAATAGATTGGAATGAGGCGGGGCAAGTGGAATAATCATTCCCCTTAAAAAAATTAATTTCTTATATATTTCATATATGTTCAATGTATTTTCTATTAATTTTTTTTTTCATCCTCCCTAAAATTTTATTAGTTCGTCTCTTCTTCAAAATTTATAAGTTCATATTCCCTAACATAAAATCATATATCTGTCCCTATAACTCAACTAAAATAATGTATGAATTTTTTTAAAATTTATATCATAAACACATCTCATGATATTAATTATTAACTTCAATTAAAAGTACTCACTTCATAGTTTTTCGTATTATTAATATATATAAATTGTGACCCAAATAGCTGCTTGTAAAAATGAATTATAGAGAAAAAAGTAGTGATGTTTTAGGTTTTTATTAGTTGAGATTATAATTAACGTGGTAGAGAGAGGTAATGATATAATTTTTTATACCTTTTCAATCATGTATTTGATAGTAAGCATGTCACTTAACTAACAAAGTTACTTATTGATTTCATAACTAAATTATTTTATTACTTCTGTTATTATTTTGATTATTATTACTATTATTTTAAGAAATAATCATTTTAATATTGAAACTATTATTATTTAAATAACTATCACTATTATTATAATTTTTATTATTAAAATTAGTGATGTCTTATTGGCAAAACATATTAGTTTGCATGTACTGTTATTGGTACTGTTATATTTATTGTAAGGTCGATTTGTCTATATTGTTATTATTTGATTTTCATTTAATATTTTGGTTATTATCTGCATCATTAAATCACGTTAAACTTTTTAGCTTACCTCTTCTCTGTCTAATTAATCTTTATTTAATATCATATTTATTATCTACGATGATTAAACACACTAAACTTCTAGTTCATCTCTTCTTTGTCTCTTACTTTTGGATGCTACAAGACGTTAAGATCATATCAATATTTAAATTAATCATAGTATTGGACATTTCTTTTAATTTTAATTAAATACATTCTTTATCTATTTTGTTCTCAATATGTATCATAGGGTTTTACTAATTTGTTTTGGATATTTATTTACGTGCTCTGCAGTTAATAATAATTTTAAGGTAATTTAAATAAATTCTAAAATTTTACAACAATTAATGTTTTTAATGCATTTTAAGACACGAAAATAAATTATAGTCTACTTTAGTGATCAATGTGACATTCGACTGTAATGTCTAGGTAGAAATTAGGGGTTACAATTAAATTTATTAAATTATTTAATACCAGATTAATTGATTATATAAATTTTAAGGACTAATATTATTATTATATCAAATCATGTCACTATATGTCATGTTTGTAACAATATTTTAGTGACAATATAGTCTATAATCTATTAATTTAGAGGATCAAATATGACTAATGATATATTTAATGAAATATTATAATTTTTTTGGATTTTGGAATGATGAGTGTGACACCGGAGGATGCGAGGTCGGCTATAATCGGGCACGTTGTTCATATGGTGAATCGGGATTACGAAGCAATGGCTCGTGATTACTATGCTCTGGATTTCTTGGCGGTGGATGTGGATGTTTCTCCCATTGTGCCAGCTCTTAGGGACTTCTTTGACGATGCGCTGAATTACACTGTGAGCGAACTCAACTTCAAAACACTTGTTGATGGCCTGGGAAATGTTTTATATCAATACCCTTTTAATGGTGAGCTGATAATCTTTTGTTTGGTTGGTTTGTACGTTATTCGAATTTGGGTGTGACTTTACGATATTGTATTTGTCTGGCAATTTGAAGCTTTTCCGGATTCTTGAAGAGTCATATGCTCATACTCAATTACTCATATATGAAATTATGTCAAATAAGAGTGTCATATACACGTACTTCAAGAAAAGAAGAGAGTTGGAGCAAGATTGCTAATGTTTATTTTTATATGATACTTGTGAGCCCTATTCTCAAGTTTGGTTATTGTACGTTATGTTGCTTCAACTCTTCATTTTTCTTGAAGTATTTACGTTCGACACATATTTAGATACGAGTACGTGTTAATTTCTGATGTGGTCTAATGGTTTGGTTATCAATGTTGTTGCAGTACCTGCCTATTATGCGCTGATATTGAGATCACTTACAGTGCTAGAAGGGTTAGCCCTTTATGCTGATCCCGATTTTAAAGTGTTGGCTGCCTCATATCCTTATTTTGCTAAAAGGCTTCTCACTGATCCGAATCCATATCTCAGAGACGCTCTAGTTGAGTTGCTTTTCAAGGATGGCAGGTTCAGGCATGTATTCACCTAACCTAATTGTTTGTACATCTTCTGTTCCTCTCTGCATTTGAATTCATGAAATCTAGCTACTTCGATTGTGCATATTCGGATACGATAATATGAGTTTCTGGCATGAATATGTTCATGCATTTGGAAGGGTCTTAGAGCATTATACTCCCATACTTCTGTCCAAATATATATCGGACATGTAATCGGGTTTAGATATTTGAAGGAAAATGAAGAGTCGGAACAACGTAACTTGAAATGCATGTGATATGTTTGCAACAGGTGGAACAGACTAGAAGACCTTCTTATTCAGGGAAGAAAGGACCGGGATTTCTCAGCAAAAGCTGCATTGCAACCTGTTTTAAAGCTTCTACTGGCACCAGACGGTGAACAACTTCGGGCTTAACAATTAAAGAGGCCGCTCGTGTCACCGAGGCCGTTATTTTAGGCTCGGTCGCTGATACATACAACTCGGCACCATCTTTTGTTCAGACGCTGATGATCAATGACAATGGCAATGGAGCGATTGCAATGAACGGTGCTGATTTGGAAACCATGATGGAGCTTCGGAACCAGGTTTTTAGAATCTGGGGGCTTCTAAGTTCCTCTGAAAATTTCGATCCAGCACTCTTGCAGCCTATTTTACAGGTTAGTAAACCTTATTTGTGGTATAGTTTATTCATTCTTTCATTTTTCTTGAATGATTCAAGTTTCAATGGAGTTGGCTAAGGAAAGGGGTTGTGGAACAGGTACTTCAACAACCGGAGGGACGTAGTCTAGGGGGGCGTGTCGTCGGCGGGATCACTCAGCGTCTTTCAGCTCGCTTACTGCAACAACTTCTTCGAACACAAAGTGTTCCTGCATCAAGTCTATGAGCATTGGAGTTCCTGGTAAGGTTCATAAATGCATGTTTATGAATAGGTCATATCTGCAAGTGCTAATTTCCCTGCGATCTAACATTACAAATATGAACCAAAAAAGATATATTGTAACCAAATTAATACACTTTTTTGGAATGTATAGTTTTATCAAATGAAAAATAGGAGCTACTGGTAAAAGTTTCAGGGTTATATATTACAGAATTCAAAAGAAGCATCTGGCAAACAATTAATTCTACATGCAGGTACGAATCACACAACGTGTAATTTAAGTATTTCTTTTATATTTAATAATTTCTTTTTGTTTCATTTAAATTTTATAACATAAAATCTTACCCCGTCGTTCCATACAAATATGATTTTGGAAACAAACAGTATGTTCGGCAAACTCAATTCAAGTGCAACTCCTCACAAATGTGATCTAACCGAACTAATCGACTGAATCAAAATGACATACTATGTTCCTCGATCTCAGATGTGAGTGCTCAACATTGGTACATTTAGCCTTTTTTTTTCATGATTCCCGCACAATTGAAGAATTCTTAAAGCACGAATTAAACGACATTAATTGTTGAAGAATTGTTGTTATTCCTCGAGGTCTCGAGTTCGGACATCACATATGCAGAGATATGTGTTTTTAACATCAAATGATTAAGAGTGTTTGAACAAATACTATCGGATTAAATTTGATTTAATTGTAAAAAGTTTATAACAAAATTTAAATTAACTTGAATAAAAAGTCATAAATCTAAAATAATATTGAAATTGTGAGGACTCAAATTCGAAATTACTTAAATAAATAATTCAAAACCTAAAATGATTATAATCTAAAATGATCCAATTACATGATTATTCGAACAGAAAATCCAAACTTTAAATACAACTTATTCTAACTCCGAAAAGTCCTAATTTAAAATTATTCTAATCTAAAAATTATATGTATCTAAATGAACTAAAATTTTTAGAAATTAAATTGATCCAATCCAAATTGTCTCAAATCAAAACCAAATCCGCCTATCTTATAAACATCTGGATTTATCATATTATCTATTTTTATGGTTTTTTTTTATAGTTTTCTCATTCTAAATAAAATTGAATCCACATTAAAAACATGAACAATAAAACTAATAAAATATTATCATTCCTTAATTTTTATTATCTGAATTGAAATAATCCAATTTGAATATTTAAGTTAAATTTTAGTACTAAT